GAACCGAATGGAGAGCCAGAGAAGGTTACCCGGGTGAACAGGGGTGGCAAGAGCAGGCTTTGAACTAGGAGATAGATAATGGATGATAGGAATGGAGGGGAAGGACTATGTTTCCTTTGTCTTCTTTCATCTTCTTTTTCTCTTTCGCCCTTGCCTTCATTCTCCACCTCACTCTCGCTTCACTCTTCCCTACCTATGGCCCAGGCGTTCTCTGAGCTAAAAGAAACCACTGAGCCTTGGGTTTAGGGCAAATGCTAAAGTCGAAAACTGGAGGCAGATTTCCAGTTCCCCTTTCATGCCAATGGATGGGACTCCCTCTGGTCGTTATTTACTGCAAATCCCATCCAATTGCAAACCCAGGAATTCTTTTAGGAGACAGGAGATAAAAGAAACATTTTCTACCAGCCCACCAGTCCTGGCAGCTCTACCTGTTTGGTCTTATATTTTAAATGGCAAATAGTTCTAGGGACAAGGAGAGCTGCTGGCGAGTTCTGGGTAGTTCAGTGTTAACAGCTTTCATGGAAATGTTTCAGTTATACATATTGACTTTCCCTCCTTCCCGATTTCAACATATTCCGTGGCTTGAATCACACATAGCTGCATCTCGGTTTTAAACACAGATAGCACCCCCTTAGCCTGCCCCGCTCCCTCCTCCCTTCTCTACCCAGCAAGGTATTATAATTTGACCCCCGAAGCAGTTTCCCTTTACATGGCAAGATCCTAAAAGTGATGTCATTCAGACTTGGCAGGATCCTGTGCTTTTTACAGGACCTCCTTGGTGCTAGTCACTTTGGGGCTGTTATTGTTTTAGTTTTTGATCTAAATGGCGCAACCAACTGTCCCAATACACTTTAGCCCCATGAACACAATTACACAGGATGTGTAAATGTGCAGCTTTTCAGGGGTCTTTTTCTTCTCTCTTAATGAAGGATGGCTCAGGGAAAATGCTAGAAGTGTCAGTTTACAAACTGATGGTCATAATGTTTATGGTAAAAGCAAGTGACCCAAACTAGCCTAGAACGCCAACTTGAACTCCCATTCTTGGACACAGAAGGTGGGTTTCCCATCTCCATGCCCCTGTGGTTGCACTTTCCTCTGTCCCTTCACACTCTGCATAGGAGAGGGAGTCATACTGACTTCTGGAAGGGTTACCCTGCAGGGCCAGCACCACTTAGAGACTGAGGCCACCCTATGCCCTTGGGTCGTGGCCTTCCTTTACACACCGACCATTCTGTCATCTGAGACAGTCTTTGATTTAATGGGCAAAAATCCAGGAATAATTAAGACAATAATAGTACACACCCAACAAGAAAAACATGCTGTGTTTAAAGAAGAAATCTCAGAAGCATGAAGGGCAGTGAGTCTGTGCCTTTGAGGACAGAAAAGAGAACCAAGAAATCAACAGCAACAGCCATCAAGGACTTACTAAGCTCCTCTTTGGCAGAAAGGAAAAATTTACTAATTCATTCTACTTTTTCTTGGTGAGATCATGAGGGTGTGGGAGAAGTTAAGATTTGAGATTTTTCCCCAAAGTTCTAAATTTTGCAAAGAACTATTTTTTATCATAACTAATTTCATAAAGTAAAATAAAAATGACCAAAGGGCACTATCTTTTTTGTTTAATCTGACAGTAGGTCAAGCATTATTCTATTATTACTGCTCACTACTAGCCTTTGCTTGAACCCTGACAAAAAGCCTTTACAAACAACACAGTAGAGCTTCATAACACGATTCCAGTTGTTTTCTTTCTGTTAAATCTGTAACTCTACCCTGATTTTATCTCTCTGAAGACTTCTGGATATTTACAGCATAAGGAAAGACTTGTTTCCCTATCTCTAGGCCTTCATGAAGAACATAATCATAAAAGGCATTTCCATTTAAGATTAAAACGCTAAGTTCTAGACATGTTCTTTCTAAATATTTTTAAAGAACCTTCAACTTGTCGCCCTAGTATCTATTTCCCAAGATTTATTCACAATGGCTTTTCAGAAAACACCTTCCAAAAATGATTCCAAATGCTTTGTTATGCATAGCTTCCTTGCTGGACGTCTCCAGTCTAGACTTAATTTATTTTTCTCACCTGCTGCTTTAGATCCTTCAAAACTGTTGCTAAACTCTCTACTCTTGGCTGACCAGAATTATTTCTTATCAAGGTAATTTCTGAATGTTTCATGGAAGAAATTCGTGTTATTTTCCTGAAGAGACCCGCTTTGAAACAGTATTTCAGAAATGGCACACAAAAACCCACAATGGATGGTGTCCTTTTCCATTCCCTTCCGGCCTCCCTGACACCCCCGTTTCTAATCCCAGGATGAGTTGCCACTTTTTCAGGCAATTTACTAGGTTGTCCGAGTTTTATCAAGGCGGGGAGGGTCTGCTAAAATGAGAAGCCCTTTGCAGTTTCAGGGTCTGCTTCAGAGGGCCTAAGAAAACCTAAGAAAAATCCTTGAGGCATCATATTTGAAAAATATTTAAAGATTGTTCACTTGAGTAAATACTTAAGCCTGCCCTCCCTCACTTTCCACGGCCTGTAGCCATATTACTCACCCTCAAAGAATTCATCAATATCCAACTGGCCCTCTAATTTGCTGATGTAGCAAAAAGAGTTTAATAAAGAAAGCTGTTGCAATTTTTCTTTAGAGGACAGGCCACAAACTCCACTTTTATCTTTTCAGCGCTGGAATCCTCGGATCTTCTGCTAACCTCTGTAGAGAAATGAAAGCTTACGTGCAGCTACATCCACGGAGCAAATTTACCCACGAGGCAGAGCCTTAAAAGCCCAGAAAAGGCTTTCACCCCAAGGACACCGAAGTTTTATAAATGATCTATCTGAGGATTTAGAAGCTTGTTAAGTCACATCAGACAGCCAAGCAAGCTTTCAGCCCGGTCCACGAAGTTCTGAGGACTTGAACAGGCAAACTGTAGTTGAGTAAGTTTTTAGCGCCCACCGAAGCCGTATAAATCACTGCATTTTCAAGCGCTGTCCTGCAAATTCAACTCTTGGTCTGCAAAATCTTTTCAGTTAATTGAAAAACAGCTTTGCACACCCTGCAAGACTACTCTTTCTCCCCACCCTCCTCTCCCCACCCACCCTCAAAAAAAAACAACCCGTGGACACCAGCTAAAGGCCTCGCAAAGCTCCCAATGCCTTGGGTCTGGGAAATCGCCCTGGCAAAGACATTAAGATTTTACATGAAATCTGCAGAAACATCACAGTAAAATGCATTCGAGAGTTAAGTAGTTCAGAAACTCGAGAGCTAGCATGGCAGAATCCCTGGTTTTACTTTTGTACACTGATTGTGTGTGTGTGTGTGTTTTGCCATGTTTGGGGGCACCTGATTTTCTGTTTTTTCCGCGCCCGCGCGAGGTTCTGCACTACGCTGTGCACAGGCCACAGGCCACGAAGCCTCGACCTCCCTCAGGGGGTGCTGGGGACCCGGCCGAGGAGGCCACGCCAGGCGCGAGGCGAGACTCCCGGCGTCTGCGGGCAGGCAGCGGGCACAGTGGGACCCCGGGATCCAGCCCCGGGTGGCCGACAGTCTCCAGCAGAGCCCCTTTCCTCGGCGAGCGCGCACCGCGGCTCCTGCGCCGCGCTCCGCGCCCGGCCGCCCACCTGCCCGGAGGCTTGGGTGGGGGGCCTCCCGGCCCGCGTCCGGAGCCCGGGGCGCTGGCAGAGGGAGGACTGCGCTACCCATTGCCCTTCCCGTGCGTAAGGCGCGGGTCAGAGCCCTGCTTGCTCGCAGATTTGTCCCACCCGGGACCGGGAGAGAGAAAGCAGCCGCGCACGTTTTCTTCGACAGCGTCCAGAAGCTATTTGACAAGGGGTTTCTCAGTGAGTTGTTACTAAAACATGTTGCAAATATCCAGGAGAGTTGAAAGGACCGTGGAGCGAACGTCCAGCGACCCGCCCCCACCCCAGACGTGGACGTAACAACTGTTGAACATATTGCAACACTTGCTTCCTCTCCCTCGGAACGCGTGGCTGTGTGAGCTGCATCGTTTGAAAACTGCCGAGATCGTGACACTGAGCCTCAGCACGCGTCCGCCAGGCGTCCAGGATACCCTCCTACTTACCTTCCGTACCGTCCTGACACCTAAGACATTTAAGTCTCCGTCCCTCACAGCATCTAGCATCCAGCACCCGCGCCCGCTTCCCTCTGGTTTCCCCACTTCAGCCTTAAAATCAGTTTCCCTTCTTGGAGTGAGACATGTGCAGACAATTGTTCCCTCCCTCTGTGCTGTTCCTCAAAGTGAGTGCCAGCACAAACGGGGCTCGCCGGGTCCCGGGGATCCCCCTCCCAGAGCGCTCTGCAGGTCAAGGGGAGTCCCGAGCAGGGGAGACTCGGGTGCGCGGGAGAGCGCTCCCCTCCCGGGCTCCGAGGCCCCCTAGTCCTTTCCCCAACCACGAGAGGCGCCCCGGGAAGCCCAGCGCAAGGGGGTCGCCTCAGCCACCTTGCTCGCTCCCGGGAGGTGACAGGGCACCCTCAGGGGACCGGTGGGCGCCGGGTGGCTTCTGTCGGGTGCATCTCTGGGTGCGCGCTGTGCTACCTTGTGCCCCTGGCTTGACCATTTTCCACTCCCTCCTTTTTGTCCCCGAACCCTGGCTATTCCGCTCTGTCTCGACTATTCTGGGCGCCCCGTGCCCTTCTCGGCCCTTCCCGGCAACCGGCCAAGGCTGCGGCGTCGAGTGCCTGCACCCCCGCTCCCCACCGCGCTCGCGCTTCCCCCCCCCCTTCCGCCCCGGGGGCCGGGTGCTGGCGGGGCACCGAGGCGGGGGGGAGGGTCGGCGTGTGCCCCGCCTGGCCACGCCCCGGAGCCGGCTTTTTCTAGGGCCGCTCCCGGGAGCCTGTCCGCTGGCCGGCCCGCTCGCCTTCCTGCGAGTGCTCAGCTCCAGCCCCTCGCTCCGCCTCCGCCACGCCGTTCTCCGAGCTTCGCGGCCGCCGGCGCCCGAGCGCGCCCTCCGCGCCGCCACCCCGGCTCCCGGCCCCGGCGCTCGGTCCCTCTCGGTCGGGTGGCTGGTTGCCCGGCTCCCCCCGCGCCCCGCGATCTCGCCGTTTACCACGTCCCGGCTCAGCTCCCGCCGGGCCCCGCTCTCTCGCCGTCTGTCCGTCCCCCCCCCCTTCCTTCCTTCCTTCCTTCCTCTTCTCTCTTTCGCTTGCTTGCTCTTTCGCTCGCTCTCAGACGCGGCGGTGCAGCTTCGCAGGAAAATCCCAGAAACCTTTGCAAAAAGCTGACAATGAAATTTAAGAAGTTCTTCGATTTCGGCGCCATTTTCGAGTGGAGCGAGAGGTGACATGCGATTTTTAAAAAAAGGGACTTGGTGGCTGCCCCCCCCCCCCCATAGCAGCACTGGTTACGGTCGACGGGGGAAAAAGCTGATGGCCGTGCGGGGAAAGTTCCGTGCTGCTCTGGGCTAGTAAGGCACGTTGCGGGGTGGGGGTGGCTGGGGTGAGGGCGAAACAGACCTTTCAAGCGTTGAGCACAGAAATGCCGCCGAGAAAATTCTTAGGAAACGGGCTGGGAAAGAGCTAACTAACATGGAGGGGCAGACAGAGAAACGGGAGTCAGGGGCGGGGGCCGACTGTCAGCCTCCTCGGGGTCGGCGGTGACTGGCTTTGACAGGCTCTAGATGGACTTTTCATGCCTCTTAATTGCATGCAGTCAAATACGTCCTGGAAATAAATGTGTGATTAATTTGCATTGCTTCCCCCCCCCCGATCAAAACTTTCAAGTTGTTTAGTTTGCCCTATAAGAAACTTGACTTTGAGAAAGTTTGGCACGAAAGCGCCCAGGGAAGGGCCATTGTAGGTTTGGGGTGTGGGGGAGACGGCATCTGCAAAACTAAGACAAAACGTTGTAAAGTATGAGTAGAGGGAGAGGCGTATGCTTTGGCTCCTGAATGATTTGGCCAAACAGTTCTGTTCTGAAGGGGGTGGGGCCATGGGCAACTCGCAAGTATCGATTCTTTGTCTATTGTATCAGCAACTGACCCTCTCCAGAAGTGACAAGACGCCTCTTTGTGATCTGTTTTCGTAAGTAAATTTCAGTCTAAGGGGACCTCCCTAAAACAGGGGAACGACATGGTTTGCTAGGAATGTAAGTCGTTGTACTGTCACTGGGAGAGAAGAAAGGGGTTAAATGAAAGGTACAAATGAATTCGATTCCAGTGACTTTGCAGAACGATCTGGAAGGGACCTTCGCCTTTGACACCATTGCTATTTCGAATAAACTCCTGTTCTTTTGAGTAGTCAAAGAAATGTTAAATTAGCGATGACTTTAACATCTGATGTGATGGTTCACATATGTGTGTGAAACATAAATATGTAATTGGGAAAAGGTTGTGGAGTTTTAAAATATAACTGTACATTTGCTAAACATGTTTTTTTTTTTTCTTTTTAAGGGCAACCAAGGACGTTTTTCTCCATTAATTCCCAAAAGCCAATGTAACAGTTGTTTGTAAATAACATAGCCAAAACAAGATGGAATTTAGAGATACCTAATTGCATGTCCCATTTTAGAGAGTGGGGTTATTATTAAAACTTTGTTTACCCTGACACAAATAGTGTATTTGGTAACAGTGAATCTCAGTCTGGCCTTATGAATTTTGTAATTACTCTCATTAAATACTCTGCACATTTTATTAACTAATAAAGAGGACACAACATCCATTGAATGGGTTTCGAAAAGCCAACAATTTTTAAATGAACCAAAACACTTGGGTACTTTAAGTCTTTTACCAATGTATTATAACTTTGAAAACCATTAAAGTTTTGTGCTGCTTTTTTTTTTGTTTTTTTAACTTTTAGGTCTGTGATTGAGGGCTACAGGGTTGTTTTCTCTATGCTTAATTAAATATTTCGTTTATACAATGGCGGGGAGGGAATGTGTGTAACTTACTGCTAATGTCTGTGCATTTTAAAAAGAAAAAAAAGTGATATCTAATGAGTTAATCATTAAGAGTATGCACAGTGCCGGCCATTTCAGGATATGAGAGTTTCTGTGGAGCTGCTGGAGACAGGAAGGAGTGATTTGACATTAAGTATTTAAACTTTTTGATTTATGTTTTGATAGGTGACATTGAAAAGTATAAATTATTTATAAATAAGTTTGAGTAATCAGTTTCATATGTAAACACCCAGGTATTTCATCTGGGAACAGTTATTAGTCCTTGATACCTTTTTAAAAATAACTTAAGGCAGGGTGTTTGCTGTAAGAATAACACGTTGGGAGAGTAAAAGAGGACAACGGACGGACAGAACTATTTCCCAGTGATGGTGTTAGAACCAGCTGAAGCTGCCAGGACATTTGGGTTATCTCCTTTCAGTCAATAAATGAAAATTGTTTTGTTTTGTTTTGAATGAGGGCATGGAGTGAGACTTAACGATTTAGAATACCCAGGAGGAAGACATTTCACTAAGACTTTGAAACTGGCAAGAGTGTCAGATATTGCCCAAGTACCTCTTATTTTTTTATTATTAGTCTCAGAAGTAAGATTTTTTTCCCACCCTGATAGCCCATCTCCCAGGCCTCTGCCTTTCACTGCACTTTTCCAATATTCAGCCTCTGGGAGGAAAAAAAAAATCGAGAGGCACACCCTTTGCTCCACCTGCCCATCCTGGAATTCAAACGGATACGTTATAAAAAGTACGTCCAAGTGGAACGAGGTGTCTTGGGCGCACGTTTGACTTCATCCCTCGCCACTGGGCGGGGCCCGACGGGCTTCTTTCCAGACTCCATGTCTTTCTCCGCCTGCAGGTATCCCAGAGCCTCCCCCTTCGCGGACTCCGAGGGGATGCAGCAGCAATTCATGTTTTGAAGTGCTTTAAATGGTTCAAAACGTGAGGCGCTGCTATACCCCCTCGCGGGGAAGAGAGAAGGTGGGGGTCGCTGGACGCGTGTTCCGGAGAGGCGCTCGCTCCCCAGGCCGGCTCTGGAGCAGGTAGGTGGGCGGGGCGTGAGTCGCTCTTCCCTCGCCCCGCACCTGCACCCCCGCGCCCTTCCCCGCCCACCCAGCACCCTAGAGTCGGGGGAGGGCGCCACTGCTTGGGAAGGGTTTGGGGCGATAGCGGGCCGCGCCCCAGCGACCCGCGCGGTGGAAGAACGCGGTGGCCCACACTCAGCCGTGCCCTAGCAGCGGGAACAGTACTGCAGTGAGCGATCGGGGCTCTGGAGTATTGTTCCTGCTGCCCGGGCAAGACTGGGACTCCCGCACCGGCCCACCCAGCAGGTAAGTCCCAGCCTAGCGCCTCCAGCGTCCACCCCTGGAGCGGCGAGACCCGGAACTGGCGCGCGCTCCCCCAAACCCTGGCGGGTGTCTGACTATGTAAATGAATGTGAAAGCGGCTTCGCTTTAGCAGCCTTTCCCCCGGCCAGGTAAAATCTCACCGGTTGCAAAAACAAATCCTTCCTGATCATGTCCAATACCACCCACCCGGCAAAACCGAAGAGAGACTGCGTTCAGGCTGCCACCCCTAAACGGTGGCGGGGCCGGGAGCGGAGTCAGAGGTGGCAGGAGGCTGGGTTCCTAAGGGCTCACGTCCCGTGCACCGAAAGGTCCTGGGAACCCAGGAAACGTGAACGTTTCTGACCCCTTCCCACATCCGCGCCCCTGCCTCCCGCCCCCGAGCTATGTTGAGGGTCGCCGCCGTCGAGGTCCACCAGGCGCGGGGCCTTGCTGGCCAGGAAGCCCAGACGGCCTGAGAAGGCGCTGACCCGCCCGCGCTGAGGCCTGTAGGAAGAGCGGGTTCCCCTGCGCATGGCCTCAGAATGGGAATCTGCTTTTCTAGCTGCTGTTCGCCGCATCCCCCAAATCCAGTCCCAGAACTCCACTCTGGAGGCGATGCCCCAGGCCTCCTTGTCGCCCCAGGGGTCTCACAGGAGGGACCGCGCTGCCAGCCGGTCACTGGCTTGACACATCCTGAAAAAAAAATGGCAGCACCGAAGCTTTCGACTCAGGGTGATTCCAAAAGTCAGGGCAGTGCTGCTCATTAGAGCTGCACATCTGCCGACCTTTAAGCTCGGCCCTCACTAGCAGTCCCCAGTTGTGCAGAAGCTTGACAGCGGCCTAGAAAAGAGAGGGCAAGTTGTCAGGCCCAGGTCTCATTTGTTCTGCGAAAATCGCTAGGTCTTTTCTTGACCTGGCGCTTGCGGGCAGGAAAAGGACCTCTGGCCAAGACAAGGGGGTGGGGGCATGCAAACTTCTCGGGACTGACTGTCAGCTTAACTGAAACACCACACCAAGCACCGCTCTGGTCTGTCTGTGCTGCCTGGAACTGGTCTTCCTGAAGGGAAGGGCGTTCGTGGGGCTCCCAGCTTTCCAGTGTGTGGAGGGCCAGGTTTCAGGTACCCGGGAGAGGGGCGTCAGGCTCTGTGATCCCAGATTTATTCCCGCCCGGGGCCGGGGCCTTCCTGCCTGCCACCGACCCTCTGCTTCCCGGGGCTACCCGCGACCTCCCTCTGCCCCACCCGGGGCCCTAGCCCCTGTCGCGATCGCCAGGTCGTGCCGTTCCAACCTGGGCTCCCGGCCTGCCAGGGCCCCTCTGGCCCGCAATCCCAGAGCCTGGACGGCAAACAGGTTCCCGCACCCTCCCGCCTTTCCCTGCGCTTGAGGTTCGGGGAGGCACCTCGAGCCTGCCCTCCAGCCTCTCACCAGCCTCCCTCCTCACTTTCTCTCCGCCCCGTACGGGTCTCCCTGGAGCCAGAAGGACGCCCTGTGGCCCCCGGCACCCAACCCTGCGGCAAGACCCCGCCCGCCCCAGCCGGCTCCCTCCAATGGGCCCCTGCCAGACCCAGGTGAGAGACCCGGCGGGTTGGGGGACAAAGCAGGGCAAAGGGCAGGGAGGCAGTGATCCCAGCTAGGGGGCGTCGCCTTCCAGAAGCTCAGCGGTTCTTGGCCCAGGGCCCCCCAGAGGCATCGAAATTGAGGGCGTCCACCCAACCCTCTGAGTGCGCGGTGCCCTTTTCTGATTTAAAACATTCATCTTGCACCATTTATTTACACGATCGAAGCTGCAATGTGCCTAGATTTTCCTCCAAGGACAAAAATGTGAATAAAGCAATATTTTAGCCAAACATTTCTGTGTCAATTAGGAAGATGGCAATTCGTTCCAGACTATAAATTCTCCCTAACAACTCCCTAAGGTATTCTTTAAAATTGTTTTTCAACATTGCTAAAAATGCATCATAATGTGTGGGAGATGTCAGCTGATGAATTGGCCCAACGTTACCACCTTCGAAAAGGCACCTTTCCCTCGTTTTCTCTTTCCTCCCCCCCCCCCCCCCCGCCCCCAGCACATGTTATTTGTTAGTGAGGAAGCTGCGTGCACAGGGCATTGTATTTAAGTTTATTAGAAAGACATGGTCCTTAAACTAGGAAACAGCTGAGTCTAGTTGGAAATCTAAAATCTGGCATATCTGTAAGTTGTGGGACAAGATATACCGGCTGCTTTTCTAAATGAGAACATAATTTTTTTTTTTAAATTTTAATCACAGGGGAGAAAAATGTTGAAGGCACCCAGCATCTCCAGTTAGGAGTATTGACTTTTTCCCAACAAAGCAGCACGAAGGAAACATTCTTGGCCCGGATCTGGACTCAGAAGACTCCTGGTTCAAGAAAATGCAATCATCTCTCAAAGTCTGTAATTTATATGCATTTTTAACTCACTCGGTATTGAAAACCACCCAAGTGTCCCACAACATGGGGTAAAATATAATCAATCACCCAGTGTAATATTATACGTGCTTTAAAAATGTTATTGGAAAATGTTTTATGATCTGTAAGTCGAAATAACCCTCTCCCAACATTTCTTTCTCCCTGCTGCTCCCCCCTACCCACGCCTCTTTGTTCCAATTGGCATGTAAACTTGTTTTTCCCGCCAAATGAGTCAGTCACGATGGGAACGTCAATTGATTTGAACAGATGTGTGTCAATGTTATTTGGAAAACTAGATGCCAATAACCAGGGCCACCAAAAAAAAAAAAAAAAAAAAAAAGGTAGTGGTTGCAACTCTGTAAAAGTGTGTGTGTGCTTACAGACCAGGACTAAAGTGGAACCCCAAACAGCAAAACAGCTGGATCTGCTCCAGTGTGGGGAGATTGAATGATTGTATCTGCTTTTGATTTCCGTTAATACGGGCAACTGTCCAATTAAAAACACCTAATAAGGACTGTGCAGTGCAAATTATTTTGCCGATTGTTTTTAAAACACAATACCTATAAATCATCAGGGCAGATGGGGCAGCAGGGGCTGGGTTGTTCCCCCAATTCTGGAATCTAGAATTTAGGGGGACCCTTGGAGGAAAAGGGGAGTCTACCCAGGTGGGAGTTACTTCTAGGCAACTTTCCTGAGAGATTATACAAGATGAAAATAAAAAAAGTTCAAAAAACATATTTTAGAAGATCAATGAAAGTTTATTGATAAAAGCCTCGAGTATGGGGCTATGCACGTCCGAGTTGCCAGAAATCTTTAGAGATGTATTTTCCCATCAGCTTGCAGTGTAACTTATCTTCATAACCCTCGAACTTTATACATGTTTGAATTTGGAATGATTACATTACTGGTAACTGAAAAGCAAAGTATATGTACACCAATGATAGCCAACGTGTATCTCCCTGCCCACACCCATCCCACTCAACCCGCCCATTCTTTACTGCTAAGTGAGGGAACCTATCTGCTAGCTATCTCCTATTATCTCACCTCTCTGCCCCTTTGCAGTCCCTCCCCTGTTCTACAATTGATCTCTTTGGCAAGTTCAAAAAAGCTCAGACCCCTGTGGGGATAGTAAATTGAGCCATTAGGGAGGAGCCCTGAAAAGACTTCCATTTCCTGTGACTGCTCAGCTTTGGAGCCCTCCCTTACCCTAGTGAGCTCTAGAATCTGAGCAACCCGTGGGAGTTTGGGAGGTGGCTCTGGCTGGGTTGCTGGAGTCTTGGAGCTGAGAAACCAAAGGCCTACTGAGTCTGGATTGCTCTCCACTATGATTCTCTTAAGGCAGCTCCCTCACCTGTTCCCCAAAGACCAGTCTGTTATCCCAAAACCAGATCTGTTAAAGACCTGGCCACAAACAGCCATAATCAGAATCATAATAACCACAACATCTCGCTCTTTTATGGAGCTTTTAGATGCTCTCAAGTGCTCTCATATGTTCTATTTCAACAACATCAAGAGATAAATAGAAAAAAAAGCAGTGAGAAAATCAATTGCAGACAAGAAAACTGGGGCATCTGGGAGTTAAGGACCCTCCCTCCAACACACACACACACACACACACACACACACACACACACACCCCCCTCGCAACACACACACACACACACACACACACACACACACACACACACAGAGACTAGCCTGGGTCCTCTTCCCCTGACCTTGTACTGTGCCTCTTGCATCATTACCTGTTCATCAGAACCAACTACAGGGCACTGAGTAGAGCAGGAAATGGAGTTGACTTCATTTGGTTAGAAAATTTTGAGATGAAAGTGAAGTGATCAGTCTTATAATGAGCTTTTGCCTGCACACTGGCCCCTCCCCTGGGTGAGGCAGATGACTAAGTAGTGACTGTAAATTACCCAGCTGTGTTCAAGTAGACGTGCATAAACCAAGAAAAAAGTGTGATTTAAGTTTGTTTAAAATCTCTGGCCCTTATTTGATACTATCTATAGATTCAGCCAAATTAATCTTTAAAAAAATTAATGGAATACCCATTGTACGATTTAACTTAGTTTAGTCACTCGGTTGAACCTTTTTTAGTCATTACACATTATAATTATACAGATTATGCAGAAACCTGGAAAGGCATATGAGATCAAATTTTGAGACTGGGGCATCAAGTTACCATGACTGCAAAGCAGGTCTGCGTCGGGGCAGAAACTGGAAAGAATATGCCAAACAGGGATACTTGTCGCTTAAGGCGGTGGGAGGCGAGCATCCTGTTACTTTTCCATGTCTTGTGTTATGCCATGTTTTGTGTAATGTTGTCGAATGTAATTCTCTGAAAAGTCTTTAGGGGTCATGGGCAACACAGGAAGTTTGGGTCAAGGATGAAGAGACCTCAGACATCTCGGGGATCATCATGTCACGAGATACCACTGTGCACTTGTGACAGATTGATAACTGAAAGGTCTGGGAGCCGCTCACCTGCACAGCAATACAAGCGGTAAGTATCAGCAAACCAGCTGACCAAAATATCAGGAGAAAAATGGGCCCTAAGAAAGGAAGAAGGTGGTTGCCTTGGCAGGAGGAGGGGGACCAGTTGTAGTTCAATAGTTTAACGGGAGGTGGGGCTCAGACTGTGTCTTTAACTATTCAGTTTCTTTTTAATGAATTGAAGTGTATTTAAGGCCTAAGATTTTATATTACTTTCCATTAAACCAAGAATTTATCTCAGGCAAAACTGGAAAAAGTACTAGCAATGAGCACTGCAGACACAGCACAGTGTGATCTTCACTATGTTGAGTTCACATAAGTGGTCAAGAAATAGCAAAAACGACATGAATGAAATGTCTTTTACTCAAAGGCATAAAAGACGACATCAAGATGCTTATTTCGTTATTTTTAGGGATGGAAATTGGGAACATACTGACAGACCCACAACAAAGAATTGGGTGAGTAAAATATGGTGCATGTAACAAGCAACATGAGCATGTGCTCCTGCTAAAGTATTTAGTGATAAGAGAAACACACAACTTTGGGGCGGGGTTCCCATCTACACAATGTAAGTATATCGGGAGCATTCTGTCTGCTTGCTTTTGGTTCAATATACAGATAAAAGGTTGGGAAGAAATGTATCAAAAGTTTAGCAGGGGTTATTGTTTCTGAGTTGTGGTATAATATGTCATCAAAGGAAGATGCTAAACTATTTTTGCGATGTGTTCCTAATATGTAATATAAATGTATTGGGGACATTTTGCATCTATAGTTTTGTGTCAATGACGTGGCAAGGAGCATCGCAGGTAGGTGGTGCACTGAGCATCTAGCATCGGTGAACTCAGAGCTGTGGTACTGTAGGTGATCAAAGAAAGATGCTAAACTGTTTTTGCGATGTGTTCCTAATATGCAGTATAAATGTATTGGGAACATTTTGCATGCATGGTTTTGTATCAATATACAGACAAAAGGCTGGAGGAAATGAAACAAGATTCTAATAATGATTATCCGTGGATGACCATATGATAAAGTGATGAAAGTGAGGTACAAAGTTATATTTGCAATATGTTCCTGAATATGTAATATAAGTGTATTGGGAACATTTTGCATTCATAGTTTTGTATCAATTTTTAGAGAAAAGGCTAGGAAGAAATTTACCAAAATGTATTTACTTTTGGGATCTAGTACTATAGATAAAATATTTTTCTTATACTTTTATGTATTTTCTAAGTAACACTTGTATAAACCACAGAATGCATTACTTGTATAGCGATAATAAATTTTATTTTATAAAAGAGTTCGTATTTACTTAAACAAACAAACAAAAAAATGCCTGGCCCCTGACCTGGGGATGGGGAATGATTTCGGAAGCAGTGGGCCTAGAATACATTTCTGCCTGGCTGGGCAAACCAGATCCAGATTGGATATGCAGTGCGAATCTTGGTTCTTGGCAAAGAAAAAAAGAAATTATAATTTAAAAATGTAATGACAGAGTAATAATAGTAATACTGCTATGCATATTGCTATCTCCCATCTAATCAAAATAACACTTTAGGAAGGATAGAAAATTGGAAAAAAAGTCCTAAATAAGGGACCAGGAAAAAGGCTAATTATAATAAAGTAAGAATCAAAATCAACAAGCAACTATAAACCAGAGACACACTACTGGGGGGTGGGGAGGGAGTAGGATCAAAACGGGGGTGGGGTGGGAATTGTACGGGGACTATAACCAAGATGAAAATGCATACATTGTGCAAAAACGAAAAATGGGGCCTCCCCGGTGGCGCAGCGGTTGAGTGCTGGGTTGCGAGGCTGCCCGCAGCCTCTGCGGCTCTAATTCAATCCCGGGCTGCTCCTCGGCCACTGGAGGAGGGTCCCACATGGCTCGCAGACCTGTCCTGAGCAGTGCATGCTCCCCTCAGCAGTGTACTTCGGTCCTTCTGCCTGCTCTGCTCCCCGCTCTGGCTCTGGTGAATTCTCTCACTTCCCGCGCTTCTGACTGTACCCAGTGCTTGTATCAATCAATAAATAAATCTTTAAAAAAAAAATGATGTAAAAATATATAAAATTAAAAAAATAATAATTAAAAAAAAAAGTCTCCTTTTCCTGTAGGAGCAATTCAGGATGCGGGACTTGGAGGTTTGCCCAGGGCCGCAAGACACCTGTCAGTTTGGGGCATGCCTGGGTCAGGAAAACACCTTACAGAAAGCCCAATTCCACTGAGTGGACTTGTTGCAGATGCAGCTAAAGCCCCTGCTTATTCCCACCGATTCTGCTAGTCCAGAACAACCCTGGTTTTGGAGAACACATGCGATACATAAATAGATCTCTGGTGAAAGAGACATAACCGTTTGGAAACACACAAACACTCCAGGCCCATGTCAGGATGAGACACCCACTAGGGGGTTACACCGTCCCTGAACCCTGATTTGAACAAGGACACTACATCAAAAGAGGACCTAGGGTCCCTCACATCCTGTCAGGAGCACCCTGGAGAAACCACTCTCCCCCAGAGAATTGTGCAAGGCTGAAGCAAGTCCATATTCCAAGACTTTACTTCCAAAATATGTTCAGCATTTTCTTTCAAGCAGAAGCTGTAGCTGTGAGGCAAAACAAAACAAAACACCAATTTGAGAACATTCCTCTAATTTCCTGGTTCCTGGTGTGGTGCCCTTGTCCTTTTAAGAACAAATCCCCATACAGTCCAAAGAGTCCTCTTGCGTAAGTGTCTGTGATCGTCTTTAAGTCTTTCATGAACATTTTTCTCTGCTGCATTCTGTCAGTACATCTTCTGGGGGCCTAGCTCTGTGCTAGTCACTTGTGGGGAGACAGCAGGGGAAGATGGGGGTTGAGGTGATACCAAGCCTGCGTGGGTAGCCTTGAACCCAGGCGGGGCTCTGATCTTTGGAGCTAAGTTAGGCCACACAGAGAACTTGCTTTATTCAACCCAATTGAGGGAGAGCATGGGAGGGCCCCTTCCTAATGAAAGGTTTCCCGTCCAGTCAAGAGAGGAGAGAAGAAAAACATTGGGGGGAGGGGGGGTGTAGGATGAATTACCTTAATAATTAAGCACTGACCGTAAACTCGTCTCCTTTAACGTGAAAAGAACTCCAGTCCTTGAACTCTGAACCAGTAAAGTGTCCTAGAATTTGGCCAGTGCAGAGAGCACTCCTCCTGGTTGGGAATAACAGGCCAAGAGGGGCTGGGAGGACAGGCAGACTAAGAAGGAGTCGGGAGCTTCCCTTTCTAAGAGGGTCAGACCAGCTCCCTCATTTTATATAAGGCCGTGCAGAGAACTGGTAGCAAGGTTAGAACTTGAACCTTGATTTTTTCTTTTCTTTTTTTAAAAGATTTATTTATTTATGCACACAAGAGCTGGGTTACAGGCCAGAGGTGTGGGGGGTGAGAGGATTCACCAGAGACAGAGTGGGGAACAGAACAGGCAGATGACCAAAATACACTGCTGAGGGGAGCCGCGGGCAAGACAGGAGAGGTCTGCTTCACCCACGTGGGTTGCTCCCTGGCGGACTGGGGTTCAAACTCGTGCTGCAGAGGCTTCAGATTTCTTCATAGTGCGGTGCTTAATCCCTTGCGCCACCAGGGAAGCCCTGAACCTTGATTTTCTAGGCTCTCTCCATGGTCACACACTACGCTACGTCTAAAGGACAGAGGGAGAGACCCAGGAAGAGTCTGGAAAGGATGTGGGACTTGACAAGCCTCTTGGAAGGTGGGTAGAAGAGGGCCAGATGAGGCCAAGTAGGCCTAGGCTGGGGAGAGCAGGGCACAGGCACAGGCCTGGATGGATGGGACGTCACACCAGGCCAGGCAGGTCTACAGGTAACTGTTAAGGTCAAGTCTGGCTTTGCCACATGGGCTCTGCAGACCCTTGAGGACATGACAGTGTCCTGCAGGATATACAAGCCACAAAATACATCTGACCCAGGACAGATTTGATTCAAAAGTGAGTCATTTAAAGCACTGATTTTCTGTTAACATAAGCATAGAACCTCAGAATTGATTCAAGTTGTTGCAGGCCCCCAAGGTCTGTCCCAGGACTCCAGGCCCAGTCTCCTTCCCTGGGAATATTTATGCACTCGCCTCTAGACATTCGGCTTTTGTTTGTTTTTCCTGCCAGTACCAGGGTCTTTGACTTCTCCCCAGAGCACCTCCCCTGCTTTATCCTTTGGTGAACTGCCCCTCTAAAGGCCCTATTCTGAAATTCTGGAAGGGCTGTCAATCACAGGAAAGTGCCTCAGCCTCCCCCAGGCCCTGGATCCGGGTGGTTGTGGGACCAGCTCACTCCTTACTCACTAGGTTACCAGAGCATGTGTTGTCCCCTTTATTGTTTAAACTAGTTCATTTATTCATTCAACAAACACTCATTGCAGGGCTTCTCAGCACCCGCCACCATTTAGGGTCTGGAAATGGAGCTGTAAGCTAGACAAGGACCCTGTCCCCTTGGAGTTTCCTTTCTAGATTGAGCTTTGCTCTGGGTCACTTGCCGGCTCAATGGTGGAAGATATTATGTGCAGGGCTAAGCACCAGCGGGGGTCTAGCGCACAGACACGGGGAGTCTGGGAGGCCTTGGCACAGAGGAGTCAGGGGATCTTTCATGGAAGTCTAATTTTGAGACCAGACGGGTGGGACATGAAAAGGCTCCAGTGAGCAGGATTCTGATTTGCTCCATGTTCAAAACACTCTTGTGAAGAGGATGGCATACCTGAAACAAGCTTCCTGGATGCAACTCACCTTAGAAGAAAAATAAAGCGCTTCCCAGAAATGCTCCAGGCCCAGATCTTCCATGCTCCCTGGTCCGTTTTTGGGTTCACCCTTCCCAGGCCTGCTGCATTTTCACACCCCTTGTCAATGGCTTGCTACGATGTCTGTCTTTAAGAAGAGTGCCTATGCCACCAGCGGAACTGAATAGCTGCAGGGAAGGCTGCCCTCTCCCCACACCACCTCGAAGACCCGGTGCTAGCCCTTCCTGCGGAGGACTCCTGCCACACCTGTGTGCACGCACCTGCTCTTAGGAGATGCGGCCTTTCTCCCTTGTGCCTCCTGCAATTCAGTAGCATGCTGAGGACAAGAGCCAGGCTCTCCACGCCACCTCCCCATGGAGCCTTGTGCATCTGACACAGCAGAGGGGGTGCGCAACCAGGTGGGTTGATGGGACTGGTTGTGGATCGGCTCAGGGACCAGGCCATCTAAAGTCCTTTTCCAGGGCCAGTGCTGGCTTAGTCCTATTTTGCTGTTATAATGACCCATAGCATCCTCTTTCACTCTCAGAAGCCATGATAAAATATATTGTAGGGCCTTCCTAGTGGCACAAGGGGTTAAGCACCGCACTATGAGGCAATCCGCAGCTTCTGCAGCAAGAGTTCTATCCCCAGCCGGGCAGGGAGCAACCCAATTGGCGCAGCAGACCTCTCCTGGCTTGCCCGCTGCTCCCTCAGCAGTGTATTTCAATCTGTCTGTTCTGTTCCCCACTCTGTCTCTGGTGAATCCTCTCACCACCCCCCGCATCTCTGGCCTGTACCCCAGCTCTTGTGTGCACAAATGAATAAATCTTTTGAAAAATAAAATAAAATATATTGTCACCTACTCATCTGGAGGGTAGTAGTAAAAGGGCTCTTGTCAAAGACAAGCTGAAGTGGTTCCTGATACAGGACAAGGTATTTATAAGATCAAAGTGGCACTGTTTTGCGACCCCATGCTCAGTCACTTGGACCT